TGACGATCTCAAACGTCCAATATTTTTCACATTAATGTAAATTAGGCGAGTGACATTCGTCGCTGGATCTGCAATGAATAAGGCGTTGGAGTGCAAAGGGTTAAAGGAAGGATTGTAACCCTTTAACCCTAACCACTCCAAGATTTTTTCCTTCAGCTAGCTACCTATTACTCGAAAGTAACTATCATTTTTAAACCTGAATATGCTTTTTGTTTCTGACGATCTCAAACGTCTGATATTTTTCACATTAATGTAAATTAGGCGAGTGACATTCGCCGCTGGATGAATAAGGCGTTGGAGTGCAAAGGATTAAAGGGAGGATTGTAACCCTTTGCACTCCAAGATTTTTTCCTTCAGCTAGCTACCTATTACTCTAAAGTAACTTTCATTCTTAAACCTGAATATGCTTTGTTTTTGACGATCTCAAACGTCCAATATTTTTCACATTAATGTAAATTAGGCGAGTGACATTCGCCGCTGGATGAATAAGGCGTTGGAGTGCAAAGGGTTAAAGGAAGGATTGTAACCCTTTGCACTTCAAGATTTTTCCCTCAGCTAGCTACCTATTACTCGAAAGTAACTTTCATTCTTAAACCTGAATATGCTTTTTGTTTCTGACGATCTCAAACGTCCAATATTTTTCACATTAACGTAAATTAGGCGAGTGACATTCGCCGCTGGATGAATAAGGCGTTGGAGTGCAAAGGGTTAAAGGAAGAATTGTAACCCTTTGCACACCAAGATTTTTTTCTCCAGCTAGCCACCTATTACTCGAAAGTAACTTTCATTCTTAAACCTGAATATGCTTTTTGTTTCTGACGATCTCAAACGTCCAATATTTTTCACATTAACGTAAATTAGGCGAGTGACATTCGCCGCTGGATGAATAAGGCGTTGGAGTGCAAAGGGTTAAAGGAAGAATTGTAACCCTTTGCACACCAAGATTTTTTTCTCCAGCTAGCCACCTATTACTCGAAAGTAACTTTCATTCTTAAACCTGAATATGCTTTTTGTTTCTGACGATCTCAAACGTCCAATATTTTTCACATTAATGTAAATTAGGCGAGTGACATTCGTCGCTGGATCTGCAATGAATAAGGCGTTGGAGTGCAAAGAGTTAAAGAGAGGATTGTATTATATTACATTAATATATTATTGTATTATTTACAGTAATATATTATTGTATTACATTAATATATTATTGTATTATTTACATTAATATACAGGGTGTGTTTTGTAACGTGACATCAAACAACTCATAAAATATTTGTTGCACGAGGAAATGTTTCAGATGAGAAGTTGCATGTAGTACTAATCAGTTTTATGTTGCTTTTTCATCAAGGTACAAAGGTCACCTTCAATTTTTCAAGTGGAATAGCCGATATTTCATCCCGAATTCGGATAAAGCGTTAAAAATAAAAACGTACTACACCAAATGGGTGTATCTAAAACATACATAGTTACCGAGATGTTAGCAAAAATATTTTTTTTACATTGCATTAGAAAAGATTGTTGATGTCACCTAACTATATATCTTAGACCCCTTTTTGGTGTAATACTTATTTCACGCTTTATCCGGATCTTCCGGATGAACTATCAACCACTTAAAAAATTGAAGGTAACCTTCGTACCTTATCAAAAAAAAGCGAAATAACATGAAATTGATTGCAATACCACATGCCATCCCCTCACGTGCGACTTCTATCTGAAACGTTCTTTCGTGCAACAAATATTTTACGAGTTATTTGACGTCGTCACGTTTGCGAGACGCCCACTCTGTATATTAATTGGTATATTATTAATACATGGCCGGCCACTTTTAACCGACGCGATTGCGACGTGTCGCGGCGCGGAGATATAGATGGCGCGGCAGGTAGCGCGAGGCAGAATTCAGAGCGGCAGCGCACGTGTGTAGCCCTCTCATTCATAATCCGACATGAATATGTAGCACCGATACAACACCCTCTCGTTGCTCGTTACGCGAGTAACTGCGAGCTGCGGAATATGTGGCGCTGTATGGTATGAACCTGAACCTAACACGGATTATGTGGCCAGCATTATCCGGTGTCACTATCCGGCGTACTCCATCTTGTAAATCGATGCGAGGAGAGCGTGGTGCAGGTCAGGCGGGAAAAGAAGAAAAAAAAAAAAAAAAAAGGAAAAAAAACGGAAAAGTATTTATCAATACGAGACGATTCGTCTTTCTCGGCTCCATCGGCCGTTCAGTCGTTCTGGTTCTGTGATTTTTCAAGCTCGGCTGTGCGTCGTTTGAACGCAGATCGCTGAAAGAAATCAGAGAATACCGAGGGCTAGTCCAACACGCTGGATCATTCTCCAGTTGGGAAATTCCAAGCGAGTTCGCGGCACGCGATTCGTCGACGACTTTGCAGTCGATGCGCCACTATCCTCTCCTGTGGGGAGTTACATAAGCTACGCGACACTAGCTACAGCAGTTTCATTCTTCGAAATGCGAACCTCTGTGGCACGTTTCGTAATGCACGCCTGTTCCTCGGATCGGGTACATTTCTCACTCAGATGATATAATTGTCGTCGAAACCCCGGCTAAGCGTAGATAGAATTTACGTACGAGAGTATCGATCAGACGTTCCCTTCCACGGTGTGACCCAAACGTGGGACTCGAGTTTCTCTCATCGTGCACGTTAGAGACTTTTAGGAACAGAAGACGACACACGGTGGGACGATTCGAGTCAAAGATCGTAAGTGAAAGACACAACAAAGTTTCTTTGGAGGAAAGAAAAGAAGTTCGCCTGGAGGGAATTACGAAAGCGCTGGTTATCGATCAACAGAAAATTCCAGCCAGGAGGAGCGGGCGATCGCGACCGATCCAACCAGGAGGAAAAGGAAGGATCGGCGGCGAGATTAAGTGGCGCAAAGGGGAGAAAGTCAGGCGGCAGTGAAGAAGAAAAGGGAACGGCGCGACGTGGCGTACCGGAGAAGCGCGCGCGCGTTGAACAAATGGCGCATGATCTCGACCGACACGCCGAGGGTGACGAACATCGTCGTAATTGTCGTTCATCGTTATCGATGGTCGAAAAAGCTTCCTCGCGGCCGATTTATTGTCTCGAATGGCAGCGTGTTTAACCGCGCCTCGTGCGCTCGATCGCGACCGACCGACCGTCTGCCTTATCCGCAGAGGGGGGAGAAGGAGGACCGTGAACTGGGGCTTGCGGAGAGTCGCGAGCCTTCGGGGGAGGGTTGGCGAGGGCGGGGTGCACCTCGTTGCCCAGCATGATTACGCAACAGCCATTGATCTCCTCGTGCCGATAGTCGAAACCTCGTGCTCGCCACGATGCCAGATTCAGCGGCGCCTCCCTCCCTCCCGTCGCGCTCGCGCTTGTCAAATTCCGTTCTAAATACGTGGCGAGTTTTTGGAAAAAAGAGAGAGAGAGAGAGAGAGTGTGTGTGTATGTGTGTGTGTGTGTGTGTGTGTAGAAGGGAGCAAGGTGGTGGTAGCCGGAGGCAAATGAGAGAGAAGGAACGTTGGGTGGTGTACGATGATTGGAACGAACGAGAGAGAGAGAGAGAGAGAGAGAGAGGGAGGGAGAGTGATGCAGGTGAAAAAGTGAGAGTCAGAGAGCGAGAGAGGGGTGTTTGTGGAAGAGCGCAGGTTTGCAAGAGCGGGGAAGGGGTAAAGAAGGGGTGAACGCGTAGAGAATCGGACGCAGAAGGAGAGGGGGAAGGGGGAAAGAAAAAGAAGAAAAGAAAAAGGAAAAACAGCGGATGGATGAGAAAGTAGGCACAACGGATGTGGCTGGCGCCTGTACCGAGCTTTTGCTGCGACACCGAGCCTTCTATTCGCGATATTTGTTAGTCGGGTAGTTGCCAACAGCGCGTTGCGATCTTTTCTCTGCCACCACCACCACCACCACCATCGCCACGGCCACCACCACCACCACCACCACCGTGTAACGAGCGAGACCCACCTCCTCCATCGGCGCCAACTTCCACCGTCGTATCCTCCACTGGGCGCTCGCTCGTGGACACGCGCGCGCGCGCGAGAGAGAGAGAGGAAGAGGGAGAGAGGAAAGTAAAACGGTGGCGGTAGGTAGTTCCTCAGACGAGTTCTCGTCGGCGTGGCGCAAAGGTGGAACGGAACGGAAAACTACTGGTGGCGAGTCGGGTGGTGGTCCTCGTGGTCGGGTGTGAGGCGCGCGTGCGAGCGAGGCCGAGAGCGAAAGGGAGCAGGCGCGAGAGCTGGCCCGATCCGGACACAGGGACACGGGTGGTAGGTTCCTCGCGTTGCGATTCGAGACGAGAGGCGAGCGAGAAGGAAAACAGGAAGGACGGACGGAAGGAAGGAAGGAAGGAAGGAAGGAAGGACGGAAGGAGGAAGGAGTAGCAGGAGAAGAAAGAGGAGAAGGAGGAGGAGAAGGAGTAACAGCAGCGGCGGCGCCGGCAGCAACAGCAGCAGCAGCAGCAGCAGCAGCAGCAGGGGTAGGGGAGCGAAAAGGAAGGAGCTTCGCGGAAAGATCGGACTCAGTGTGTCAGTGTACCGAACGGTGCGTTCAGATGATAGGTGCCTCCCGGTGGAGGCGCTTCAGTCGGCCGGCCGCGATCCGCTTGATCGAGATATTCCGCGCTGCTGCGGCGACGGGACGCGTGTCACCGCCTTCGTTCGCGTCCTACCGTCTACTTTGCCCGTCTCGGTCCACTTTGCCACCGTCTACTCTTGGTGCTCGTCCCCGTGACCGAAGGCGTTGTCGTCCTTGACGAGACTCTCGGTCTCTCTCTCCGTTCGCCTGGCCCGTGGTTACGCGTCGAAAACGGAAATCTCGATGGCTCGTGCGCCGTGGCTGCCACTGTGCTCGGCCCGCCTCTCCACTCTCGTACCTTCGTTCGTCGTCTCCGTCTCCGTCTCCGTCTCCGTCGTCGTCGTCGTCGTCGTCGCCGTCCTCGCCGTCGTCGCCGTCGTCGTCGTCGTCGTAGCCGCCGCCGATCGACACCATCACCACCAACAGTGATCGCGTGTGAACGATGCGTCAGAGTAACGGAACGCACCGCGTCAGTTAACGCTTCCTGTACGTCTCTTCTTCTTTTTCTCTCTCTCTCTCTCTCGTCTTTTCGTCTCTTCTCTTCTCTTCTCTTCTCCTCTCTCCGGGGTTTTTCACGTCGTTGCTCTTTCTTTCTTTCTTTCTTTCTCTTTCTGTCTCTCTCTCTTTCTCTCTTCCCCTTGGATCGAGATGCAGCGAGGAGACTCGCGAACTGGTGCGCACCGATAGAAAAAAAAAAAAAAAAAGGAAAAAGGGAACCCGTTGTCGGGAAAACCGGGGAGAAAAAGGGAGGCTCCGAGTGCGAGAGAAGGGTGCGTGTGCGAGCGTGCGAGCGAGCGAGCGAGCGGTGCCTGTGGTGCGCTGTTGAAAGCAGGGTGACAGGTACTATTATTAGAGCGAGGAGAGGCGAGCGTGTGTGCGGGCGAGCGAGCGAGAGAGTGAAAGGCGGATGAAACGAACCGTGTGCGAATGAAGATGTAAATGTAAACGACTGGAACGACAACGATTCGAACGAGAAGAGAGAGAGAGAGAGTGAGAGAGAGAGGGAGGGAGGGAGGGGGGAGGACAGAGACAGAGAGAAAGAGAAAGAGAGAGAAAGTGCGAGGAAAAGTCGAAGAGAAAAGAGGGGGGAAAAAACGCGAAACGATCGACGAGAAGAAGGGAAAGCGGAGAGTAGGAGCGGGAGAGTTTTCTCTCGCGGAAAAGGGATTTTCGGATGGGTTGAAAAAAAAGAAAAAGGAAAAGAGAAAGGAAAGATAGATAGATACATAGATAGATAGATAGATAGATAGATTGATAGATAGAAAGAGAGAGAGAGAGAGCGAGAGCGAGAGCAGCCATTTTGATAGGTGGCTGTGTGTTGTGCGCTGCTGCCGCTACTGACTGCGCTGCTGGTGCTGCCTCTTAGCGTCGCTGATCATTGGTGTTCGCGTCACGGTGATCGTTTTTGGTAGTGCTCGTGTTGGTTCCTCGTGGTGGATCGGTCTCGTGTCGGTGCCCGATTGGTGTTGGTGCGACGGAGCAAACGAAACTGGACAGGGCGAGGGAGGGAGGGGGAGAGAGCGAAAGAACGAACGAAAGAAAGAGAGAGAGAAAGGAAGAAGAAGAGAAGAAGGAAAACGAGAAGATACGAGAGAGACACGGATAGAGAAAGAAAGAAAAAGAAAAAAAGAAAGAGAGAGAGAGAGAGAAAGAGAGAGAGAGAGAGAAATTTCGGAGGGGGCGGCTGATGAAGGAAGAGAAAGAAAAAGAGGAGCAAAGGCGTGAAGAAGATATCGAAGAACACGGCCGGTGTGCTAAAATTGAAGGGTAAAGGGGCCGGTTGGTGGTACGCGAAGAGAAGGAGAAGGAGAAAGAGATAGGAATAAGGATAAGGATAAGGATAAGGATAAGGAGAGGAGCAGGAGCAGCAAGAGGAGAAGGCGAAGAAGGGGAAGCGTAGTGGAGTGGAAGCATCGTCGGGTGCGTGTTGTGCGGGGGTGCACCGCTCTCCGGGGGCATGGGGCTCGGGAGGGGGATCCGCCCCCTCTCGTAACCGCCGCGAAGCGCCAAGATTTCCCGCACCGAGTTCATCGAGAAATGGGGGCTGACCCCTGTCCTCAAACCGAGGCAGGACCTACGCCCCCAACGGAATAGTGCGGAGGAACACGGTGACACGAGGTACGACTACTACACACCTAGCCATCCACGTCTCTCGTTCTCTATCATTTCGCGATCGATCGATCGATCGCTCGGTCGATCGTAAGAGGTTACCTTCTTTTGCATGCCGGACAATACCTTACCACCATCTACGTGCAACTTCTGCCTCCGACGAGTAGTAGTTGTTCCAGTTTTTCTATTTCTATTCGTTGTTGTTGTTGTTGTTGTTGTTCTTTTTCTTGTTCTTGTTCTTATTCTTGTTGTTATTGTTGTTGTTTTTATTGTTGTTGTTGTTGTTGTTGCAACGTTGTTGCCACTTACTTGTCATCGGTTTTTGGGTCACTATGGCCACAGTTGCCATCGGTTTTTGGGCAACCGATCCGGCGCCCAAAAGTGGACGCGGCTGGACTATTTAGCCTCCGACATGCTGACTAACAACAATTAGCGTAGTGAAGTTAGACTGATAAAAATAAGGTTCAATGTCGTATACGTCGCGTGGCTGTTCCTTTCAGTTACTAGCCATCCGCGTAGCCTTATTACCTTAGCGATGTATAGTTCGTTAGTCCGCAGCTGCTATCTTAGAAACACTACCGATCGTTCCAACGTAGATTGCGAATGCTTAGACTAGGTTCTAGGTTTCTTTACACCTTGTTCTTTCTCTCTCTCTCTCTCTCTCTCTCTCTCTCTCTCTCTCTCTCTCTCTCTCTCTTTGTGTGTTTGTATCTGCTCGCGAGCAGCGATCCAAAAATAGGAACGCGCGCGCGCGCAAGAGAGAGAGAGAGAGAGAGAGAGAGAGGGAACAATTCCGGAACGCGTCACGGAGCACAAAACGCGTTCTCTTAATTTCTTCTAGCCAGATCGAAGTAGCGCCAGATTGTCTCGGGGCTGAAACTTTACAAACGTAAATGGAATTACAACGAGGAAATGTAGATTTCGATCAAATTCGCGCGATCGGACCGCGACTCGCGCGTGTTTCGCGTGCTCGCTCCTCGCCGGCCACGCCGTGGGACGATCGAGGGGCGGCGAACAAATGATCAGCGATCCGGAAGCGTAATACGTGGAACAATTTTATACCGGGCAATTCGTATTGACATTCGATATTTGCTTTCTGTCGTCGCCTCGTTTCTCTTTTCCATTTCCGCGCGACGTCGCACCGACAGGGCCTCCCTTGATTTTCTATTTCGCTCGGCTACCGATTTTTACACCCCCGTTCTCCTACACCCCCGCCTCGCGTAATTACGCGAGAAATTTCGACGCTCGCGACATTCCCCTCCAACGGGCTGAACGATTCAACGTTCGTTTCACTTTTCCGATCGGAAGAATCGCTTCTCTTTCTCTCCGTAAAATACTCTCGCAATTCTGTCGGGTATCTCAAGATCGCGGTCTCTTGTTCGTCAACTCGGTCCCTTTAACCTCGCGCCGCGCACGTCGAAAATATTTGGCCCAAAATTGCAATATTTTCACAATTTCAAGTGTATCGAGGGTTAGGTTTTCCTAACCTAAACAACTTAGAGTTTTCTCTCTCTCTCTCTCTCTCTCTCTCTCTCTCTCTCTTTCATTAACTTAAAATTCTTGCGCTGGAATGAGAATTCTTTGTCCCAAATTGCAGCAATTCCTCAGTACATTGAAATGTAACCCAGGCAAAACAAATAATAAATTTATTACTTCTCAGTAACATCTATTCCGATATACCGATGAATTCCAAGAGGAAGACGAATTATTGTATACGGTTTGGTCACTCGTTATGGTCCGCGAACCATTTACTAGCGGCAACAGGTTAATCCACTTGCGCTGGCAACCGATTGCGGACCATAACGAGTGACCGTACACAATAATTCATCGCTTTTCGAACTCGTCGGTGTAATACTATTGATCAGTAATAAATTTGTTATTTGTTATTTGTTTTGTCTGAGTTATACTTAATTGTACTTAAAACTGAGTAAATATTGCAATTATGGGACAAAAAATTCTTATAATTCAAGTTAACCACTTGCACTGGCAACCGATTGCTGCGGATCGTAACGAATGACCGAACCGTACACAATAATTCATCGCTTTCTTTTCGAACTCGTCGGTATGATACTATTGATTAGTAATAAATTTGTTATTCGTTTTGTCTGAGTTATACTTAATTGTACTTAAAACTGAGAAAATATTGCAATTGTGGGACAAAAAATTCTTACAATTCAAGTTAACCACTTGCACTGGGAACCGATTGCGGACCGTAACGAGTGACCGAACCGTAACGAGTGACCGAACCGTACACGATAATTCGTCGCTTTCTTTTTTTTTGAGCTTGTCGGCATGATGTCGCTGGATAGAAATGATCGAAAACCAATTAAATATACTGAGAAAATGTTGCAAGAATTCTCATTCTGGCGCAAGAGTTTCAAGTTAATGAGAGTGGAGAAAACGCTATGTTTTTTTAGGTTAGGAGAATCTAACCTAAAACCTCGAAACTCCATTTGGATCCGGCCATTTCGCTACGAAACAATTACCGACAGACTAAAATACACGATACGATCGTGAATTATCGAATCTCGGCGAGCAGTCTGGACTCTAAAAATACGCCGGCATTCCTCACGGTGGACCGCCGTGCGTGTCTCGTGCGTACGTGATAACGCGGCCTTCTCGCCCCGAGACAACAGGCGCTGACATTCCAGAAACTCGACTGGAATTTACGTCGCGGCGCGGTGATTTCTCGCGCTGCCTCGCGTTGCCACGAGATCGGTCAGTCGTCCGATAAAATCGACGATCACGAGGTTAACAAGAGCCGCGTGGCCCGCGTTTTGGCTGATCGGTCCATTACGAGCGACTACTAGCGTAAATATTTATGAAGGACGTGCGGCGAGCAGTGATCGCGTAATGGCGTTTCGATGGACGATCGGGGCGGCGGCCGTTTCGCTAAATCTAAGCGAAATTTAATTTCGGAATAATAATTTGTTAATAAATTTTTGAAGCAATGTTTTACCAGCATTTGGCAAAATAACGGATTTCGATTAATGCAGCTCGTTTGGTCAGTTGAAGGAATTTGAAGGAAGTTGTGCAGATGATAATAAATTGAAGGACTGATTGTTTGAGAAAATAACATTTGAACATTTGTCGTTAAAATAAGATACAAAATAAATGGAACGAAATTACTCAAATGGGAAAGTGAAAGGAAATAAACAATAAAAATCAGAATGGGAATTGAGATAATTTATTAGCGTGTGTTATTAGAGGCAGACCTGGGCGAAATTTATTTCGAATGATAATTTGTTAATAAATTTTTGAAACAGTGTTTTAATAGTATTTGGCAAATAATGGATGGCATGTAGCTCATTTGATGAGCTGAAGGAGCTTGAAGCTATACAAATAATGAATTGAAGAATTAAAATAAGATTCAAAATAAATGAAACCAAAATGCCTAAATGAAAAAAAAGTCAATAATAATCAAAATGAAAACTAAAATAATTTATTGCTATGTGTTATTAGAGCTGATTCATTTGATAATTAACCATTTGTCTTCACTAAATAATAAGCACAGAAAATAAATACATTTAAAATATGAAGCCAAAATACTGAAATGAGAGAAAAAGAATCAATGAAAATCAAAATAATTTATTAGCGTGAGAAATTTGTCTAACTTTCAATAGGGCTCGTTTCTCAAACATTTGGTCCGTTAACGAATGATATAAAAATAATATAAAATTAATATAAAATTTGGGAAACAATCTGTTAAACTTGCACATGAGAACAGATTTCCTACTGATGACGAGAATTTTCAGTAAATTATGTTTTATTAATATATGAAGCATATCTAAATTTCTTCCATCGTTATAAAAAAAAATCTAGCGATATCCATTTTAATCTGTAGACAAACGTAATAACTAAACATTGGACATTGTATCTTCCGGCGAGTGGTAAATAATTCATTTCACGAAATAACAATCATAAGTCACTTGATCGGGAATGAATCAATTTAATTTCTACGGGAAACACTTAATTAACGTAGTTTCGTTATTTTATACAAATAGATTATTTCCAAAAGCAACATTAAAAATAACAACGAACTTAAAGATATAATAACGTTATTCGAAAATTTTTGGCCTGAATCAAAGGTAGCTAACTGGCGACCCTTGCCCCCACTTTCCTCGTCGCTAGCGCTGTCCCTCCCCCACTACGCTGAGAGCCATAATACTCGCGTTAGTTATACACACGTGTGTACACATAAATTATCCCCTTCACTGCTAAAGTTAAAGCAAGACGGGGAAAGTAATTTGTACAGCCCTCTGCGGAACAGAAGCTGGAAACTAATATTCACGGTTGAAGGAACCTGTAGACTGATTGAGCGAGCAGCAGCACCGTTTCTCAGCATTAGATCAGTTTCATCGTTGATCGTTCATCGTCGCACAGAAAGCCCAAACTGCCGCCGGTCCGAGTCTTTTACGCGAAAATGAAATAACCA